AGTCTCGTCGTGTGCCATCACTATAAAGGATTAGTTTATACTAAACTCTACACATTATATAGGCTATGCTAAAGTGACGTTTAGGCAGTTTCTTTAACTATTATACATGATGTACATTTTTTGGGGGATGGTTAATGAAGGTATTCCAAAATGCAACATTAATTTCTTGATTACCTAATAAATAATTGATAACTCTGATATCAGTTACATAATACCATGTTGAACAGCACTCTGAAAAGGTCATGACATGTGCAATTTGACCCCCACTCATATGTACATAAGGTTAATGATAAGTCTGAAGTAAAGATTGTCATATATGAATGAGCTGAAGGAATGTTAAATTTACATCCTAGCCTTAACTTCAGCTAAAAAATATTTCTATTATAAAATTATGGGACATTTTCTTCATTAATTTATGACAGTGTTTTTTTCCATATAAACTGAACGTATTTCATTCAAATGTCTCATGATTTGATACATCAACATTTTCAGCTACGTGCTCTTAATAAAAGATGTAATGCAAAAAATATTTTTATTTACATTGTTTTAATACTGCAAAACTAATACATAGTGTATAAAGTAAATTTAGTTATACAATGTATTTTATTAATTATTCAGTCATTATTCTTATTAATTTGAACAAATAGTGCCACCTGGCAGTCAGCCTGATGTGGGAGATTTCATTCAAGATTATCTGAATAAATCAGATAATGATCCCAATGCCCTACTATTTGATGACCTGCAAAACTATGCCTATGAAGGGAGTGGAAGCATGGCAGGATCCCTTAGCTCATTGGCTTCAAGCAGTAATGATAATGAGCAAGACTTTGACAACCTCAATGGATGGGGCCCTCAGTTCTCCAAACTTGCTAATATGGATGATCATTGTGAAAGTGAAGAAGACTAGTTAATCATCACTGCACACCAACCTTGTTTTCAACTGCCTCTGCTGATCATTCCATTGCTCTCTCTCTTTAAGACCAGTGACAAGTTCACATTGGAGAGTGACAGTTCTAGCCAGACATACTGTATACTGAAAGGAACAAAATAAACTAGGATTTGTTGAAACTATTTTGCATTGTGTATATATGTATGTGTGAGAGGTGTTCTTTTATAGGCCCTACTTTATATATTTTGTGACAAAAATAGTGTCTTGCAATATGTATCATATTTCAGTATGTTCAGAAGTTTTTGTTTCCTTACTTGACTTGTGCTTTTGCAGAGCTTGATCATTTCCTGTAGATAAATTAAGGGTTTAGTAGTAACATGTACTATTTGCAGTCAAAGTCTTTGTGTTTATAGTATAACTTAAAGTTTTAACTGAACTTCTGTTGTTTAGCATTGGTATTAAGAACTTCGATAGCATCAGCATTTGTTTAAATATTTAACAGTATTTGACCCTTATAGAAGATCTGTTTTGGAAGCATAAAATTTATTGAGGAATTGTTCCTATGAGGTCGTAAAGTTACAGTGAAATTTTGGAAGATAAAAATTGGTAGGCGTATTGTGTTTAATTACTGAGTCATTTGTTCTGAAGAAAATTTGAACAATCAATTGATCATTCATACCACCTGCTCAACACTGGTTATCTCCTGAAGGCTGATCCGTAGTTTGTATGATATTATATTTGTTGTTATGTGTTTGTATTTCTGACTGCTCATTAGCATTTGTTCTGTCATCACTTTAGTAGCTAGGTAAACTTATAGTAGTTATGTTTCAATAAAAGCTGTCTGCTTTTATTCTGTCAAGTCACTTAAAATGTACTCATTGCTTTTCACACTTGCAACTCCATAAATTTTCTTAAGTCAAGCATTAAGAGAAAATAAAGCTTTAAATCAGAGACATCATTTACAAGGTTTGATATGAATATATAAAAAACCGTTTTTTTTTAATTTTGATACATTTCAAAAGATATAGAAAGATAAAAAGTACATTAAGATAAAGTTTTAAAATTTTGGTGCTTGATAAATCTCTATTGGTTATGAATTTTGTGTCAATAAACTGGTGTGTAGAGCTGTTTTTTCTTCAGGTACAATGATTTCATTGTTTAAAAATGTGAAATTTCAGCTGTAATGGCATTTATTATAGTATCCCACATTAGGTTTATTTATCGAAAAACAAACTGTAGTAGCAAAGTACAAGATTTACATTTTCTTTAAGAATTCTGTTTAAGCATATCAGTCATATGTTAAAAGTGCACCAAGCATTATAAAGCACCAGTTTGAACTGTAAACGGGATACTGTATATGATGAAAGTAAAATTTCTTTTAAAAACTAACCTTATAGATCCTACTTAGTTGATATAACTATCTTCAGAAGTTAAAGAACCATATATGTAGATGCAATTGTAAGATCCCGTATTTAAAAATATTCTAAACATTAGTAATACATATACATTTTCATTATCTGTTCATAATTTTTTAAGATCTTAACAACTTATAATGCTTTGCACTTAACACTCATCAACTTTGAATGTTCACATAGAAGTTAAGCAGAATGTCATACTTTGTGGGAATGTGGATTGGCAAAAGATTTTGCTTCATACATACATACATAAATATATTTACATGTATAACTTTCTAAGTCATGTTGAAATTGTAAATCTAAAATTTATACCTTATTGAATCTGTATATATGAACTACTGTTACATAAAGCTGAGATAAATGAAATTATAGTTTTTTTTATATAACAGTTACACAGCTAGTTGTTCTCATTTTTGTTGTTTATTGAATGATAATAAGTAACGACCTGCATGTATAATGCTGAATAAAAAATCAACGAAAAGCCCATTGTGACATGATTTGAGTTCTAGATGTTTTGGCATTTAACCTGACAGTATTATATTAATGGCAAAAGTAATGGATGCTTGCTTTGTAACAGACTAAAAATCTAATACCAAACCTGCCTTGAACTTAAATCATGTCACAATGGGCTTTTCGTTGATTTTTTATTTTTGAAAGCAAGAAGATGTCACTGTAAGCAAAACTAAAGCAAAGTTGTTTTATTTAATCATACAATAAAACAATGTGGGTGGCTCACTGTTTCACTGTATTCTCATCATTGTACATATAGCTGTTGTACACTTCTTTATATCATTGTCATTTTACATCAAGACCTTATTTAACCAAAAAATATCTTCAAAGCAGTATGTTTTTAAAATCGAAGAAATGAAACATGGAACCAGAAATATATATGGTGGGTTTCACTTTATTAAAGTTAATAAATTGTACTTTTCTGTTAGGAAATATAGCATACCCTTTCCGAGATATTTCGTTACATAAGACATGCCTTTCCAATTATTAACGAAGTGGTGTCAATCTTTCCATGATATTTTAGCTAATTTAAATTATATTATGATAAAAGTACTTTAACAAATATATTGAAGTTGTTTCTTACTATATGAGATGATAATTTCAATTCCCCTTTGCATGTTACTATCAACTTCTTTAACTCTTTCTATTTTTGTTACATTTACAAAACTTGTTGATTATAAAGTACAAACTGTGAAGTCACTCTGATATTTCTTTGTTTAAAGGCCAAACTGGTTTAGTCTTCTGGTATACTTCTATTGTAACTCCTGAATATACTTATCAATAATCTTACATGTTATTAATGACTTAAATTTATATTGATCAAAATGCATTTTAATGAGGTTCTCATAATTTGCTCAGTTTCAACAACAAACTTTTGTAGCTTCAAATAAACCCACAAGTTTGAAGGAATTCTGTGTATATTAGTAATGTAACTATTATATATTTTACAATTGATACAAAATCATTGGTAGCGAGTGGCTGCAGTATAGGTACCAACGATTTCGCAAGTTTATAAGTATGCTACTTAAGACTGTAAGAATTGGTCAGAGTGGGGTTCTTGTTTTGTGAATTTTAGAAAGTCTATATAAAATACCAAAGCGGGAGTCTATCAGATACAATGAGGCAGCAAAATTTTCGGATATGATATTTTTGTTTTAAGTTCTTTCGGGTATCTTTCGATTTTTTTCCTCACGTTAGATGGTAAGCGATAAAGTGTCATTGTTGAGGATTTTAAATTTGGCAGAGTCGTCAAGAATAGCTTCTATTTTGTTCAAGTGGTCATTTTTGTTACGAATAACGATGACATTGCCTTTGTGGGGCCGTGTAACATGAATATTTGTGTTTAGAGACAGATCTTTTAAGGCTGAGATTTCTTCAGGCCATAGAGGGTTAGGATGTCTCTTAGTATTATGATTATAAAAAGTAGAAAAACAAAGTTTTTTATTATCGTAATGAAATAATCAATTGATTGAACAAGAGTTCCTTTATCGTACGTTGGAAGGTCTCTTAGATTTCTGTATAGCAAATCGAAAGGGTAAAGAAAATTAGCAGAATTCAGTTTACGTGATGGAAGAGAGAAATTAAGACCTTTATCTAGGGCGGATTTACACTGATTATATATTGATTACTGATTACTTAGTTTAACAATCAGGTCGTCAAGATCAAAGATGATGGAGAAGCTATTACTCAGCATCAAAATGAATTAACTATTCCCGATTCTTTCCAGTTTGGTATCTTTCCACAATTAATATCTTGTCTGAGGCTCTTCACAGAAATCCTGAGGGTTTTTTGGGGACATTCTCTCCCTCCTTACTTCCACGTTGGCTCGTTTGTCGTCTTTGGCTCTGGCTTTACATATGTGGTTTCTCTGTTGTTGGGACCTACTGGGTTGGGATGCTGTCTTATCAAGGGCCCATTTACCTGTACCTTATCTTCGAGATTTATGTATGGCTCCGTTTCTATAGCTTTTCGTCTTTGATACGGTCCCGGAATTTTTGGAATCACGGGTGGCATCAGTCCCACAACAGTCTATTATTTCCCATCTGGTAGCCCATTTGTCTTAGTTGGAGCCAAGTGTGGCACCAGTTCCTGTCCTTCCCCTTCCCTACCCTTACCTGTCCCTCCTTCTAGAGGTGCCACAGCTCATTGTTTTCTTGATGACGCACAATACGTCGCCAACAGTTCCAGTAATTACCTGGTGGGTTCTGGTCCAGTGGGAGCTCGACTTGTGGCCTTTCTTCATCAATGGCGCCTGTTCATCAATGATGTTTGGGTTATCTAAGTTTTGTAGCTGAAATGACTCCAAGAAGTGGCATCTGGTAATTATCTAGATTATCTTCTAAGCACCAGTGATGATGGTGGGTTGTTTGTATCTTCGTGTACTGCTGTCTGATAACCCATATGTACCAGTGGAAAATCTTGATTCCAAAGTTTTAATGTTCATTGACATAAATGGTTAATTTATCAACAGTGTGTATGGTTGTATCTCTTCACCATACCATCAGAAGATGGATGAAGGGCTGTTATCCTGGTAATTTTGATACCAACGGTCTGAGACATTTCTGTAAACAAGCCTAATTCAAAGTTTTGTTCCTGATCTGAGTGAAGTTCAATAGGCACGCTAAACCTTGAAATAAATTCATTGACGAGTTTGCTATTAGAGTTTCTACTTCCTGGTTAGGAACAGTATATGTTTCTGGCTATATGGTGAAATAGCCTATCACAACTATGACAAGAAGTTTTCGTTGCGAGTATTAACCTTTTTTGTATGTCATCTTCATATTCGTGTCACAATGGTAAGTCTGTAGGAAAAAAACTGGGGTTTGATACACGTGTTGGATAAAGCACAGATAACCCATTGCGTAGCCTTGCGCTTAGCTACAAACAAAAAAAAAATCATACTGTTGTTATTTATACTTCTACTATCTGTTGATATGCAAAGGAAATTACTTTTTCTTAGGTTATCCACTGGGTGTCGCCACTTGCCACCTCAACTATTTGATATTAGTTCACGAACGACAGCAGGGCCGGTGTGTAAGGTCATTCCTGACTTTGAAATTCACAGGTGAAGGGGGGCCATTGCGTGCGAGAAACATGTGTTTATGCTGCCGTCGCCTGTCGACGACTTACTAGTTCCGTCCATACATGAGACTGTATATCGACTAATATGAACTCCTAACATAGCGCAGAAAAAAAAAAGAGACATATTTAGAAGTAGTGCAACAAATAAGAATAAACTGTTATTTGATAAAAAT